CACTGGGCTACGGGGTCCCACACTCACACACTGACTCTCACTGGGGTTCGGGGTCCCACACTCACACTGACTCTCACTGGGGTACAGGGTCCCACACTCACACTGACTATCACTGGGGTACAGTCCCACACACACTGACTCTCACTGGGGTACAGTCCCACACACACACTGACTCTCACTGGGGTACGGGGTCCCATACACCCTGACTGTCGCTGGGGTACGATTTTTGTATTTGTTTTCCCCAGAAATGAGCAGAGACAATGACTCCAATCTAGGATCTTCCTGATCATCATTAGGCACTAACACATCATGAGTAATATTCTCATTGGATGCTCCTCTGATCCCAGTAATGGTTCCTGATAAATGACAACTAAAGTTCTTTGAAGAGTTTGGAGCGATTCCCCACTTTTCTATAATTCAACTCACCCCTCCCTACCCCTGTTAATGAGGAAACTGACCTTGAGCCTATTGGAGAAGGCCCATCGCCACGCACCTAGTTCATTTGACTTGTATCTTCTTCTACAGCACTCCATTGCTGTTAAAATAGTCCCGTGGGATCTTTTACTCCCAAGTGAGTGAGAAGACAGTTTAATATCTATAATGGCCTGTGGCCATCCTATGGTCAGCATGGATTAGGCACTCTAGTTTCTACAATGACCTTCAGGGTTTGAGGTGACAGGATGCCCACGATGAATCTAACTTCTTCAAAACACTTGACAGATACCAATTCTGGCCAGGTGTCTGTGGGGAGACAGGTTGTTGCCTTGTAGGCCTAGGCCTTGTGCTGAAATTTGGACCTGGAGCTGGATCCTGGGCTAGGATCTAGGGTCTGGAGTTGGGCCTATCTATCAGTGGCCTGCACTGGGACCAGTGGGCAAGGAATCTAACTTGAATCAGAGATAGTAGGAACTGCAGATGCTGGAGAATCCGAGACAACAAGGTGCAGAGCTGGATGAACACATCAGGCCAAGCAGCATCATAGGAGCAGAAAGGCTGGCGTTTCGGG